GGGGGGGTGTGTGTGCTGCCTGCAGGGGGTGCGACTGTGCGGTGTGAGACGAAAGTATGCGTAAAGTGCGTTATGTTTGGGTTTTGCCTTTGCTTATTTCAAGGGCAGCTGTTGTTGTGTTGCCAGCTGCACTTGATGGCCAAACTGAGAGGATGACAGGGGGAGGGGGAAGGGGGGGGGGGTGTACATACACATGAACATGCATGTACGCTGCGTAAACAGCAATAAAACATATGTACACAGCGCATAAAGTGAACGCTCCTTGGAGTGAACTATTAAAAGTCAAGTGAGAGAAACTCCAATGCTCCTTTGTTTTTTTTTTTTTACATAAAAGCATAGATAATAAAAATGAAAATAAAATGAATTGCATAGATAAAAGTAATAAAAAATAAATTAAAGAAAGTTTTCAAAAATGAAAAATAAATAAAAGATATAATTATATTTAAAAAAATTGTAAAAAAAATTATAAGAATAAAATAGTCCTTGCAGACCTATATCACAGCAAACATATATGTGCTTACTGTACTCATGTTACTCTACAACCAATATTTGATGAAAATATTTGACTTAGCAGGACAAATACTGGATTCAAGAATGCTTCAACTGTTTATGTGCTTTAGGTTTAAAGATGAATTTCATTTGGGAACAAATTTCAATATCTGAAAGCTCTAATAATACAAATTTGTTGTATATAATAATAATAATATATAATATCTTATATAAAAAACTGAAAGACTTCTAAACAATTAAGGATTGTGATTTTTGGTAGTTCGCACTGTGGAGCGACCACTGTATATGCTCAATGTGCAAAGCTTGTGTTTCAACAAATGTAGAGTTCACTGTACGGCTTGTACATTATTGTCTTGAGCAGACTGTCGACTCGCGACAAAGGGGCTTCCAGCAATGCGTTAAGTAGGAATGAAGTGTAAGTGAGTGTGTGAGTGTGTGTGTGTGTGTGTATACCTGATTTCCGGCGCACAACGGAAGCATTCGATTGCCAGTCCGTTGATACGCAAATGGTTGACAATGCAACCCATAGCCAACTGGGCAGGTCGCAAGTCTCAGACGCTGCCGTTGCCATTGGCCACAAAAATATATACATATGTACATATATGTATATATGTACATACATATATAAAAAAGAAGCATAAAACGTGACTCAGAGCGGGGTGCGACAGGTACGGCTGGCGTCTGGGGGGAGGGGAGAGTGTGGTAGTCGGCATTTATTGTCTGTTTTGCTGGCTGGAATACAAATTGCTAATTGCGCTGGCTTAATGCAAATCCTGATGGAGAATTATTGATTTGCCAGCAGCGAAGTTGCACCGGCGGAAGGGGGTGGCGCGTGCAAAATGAAGCTGAAACGAAAACGCAGCAGCAGCAGCAGCAGCAGTAGCAGCAGCAGCAGCAGCAGCAGCGCCGGCGGGCGGGAGGGTTTTTTTGCCTGGCATGCGATAGTCAGTCAGTCGTCGCATAAAGCACACGCCCCAGCGCGTCAGGCTGCTGCTGAGATGGGAACAACAGATACACACCGGAATTTTCGTGCGTTTTTCCCCTCAGGGAACAAAGGAAAAATATACGTGGCGCATCCTGCAAAATGCTACAGATAAATACAACTTTTTTTTTCAAAAAAAAAAAAAAAAAAAAAATGGCAGTATAAAAAATAAGCCAAATGCTCATCACTTAAAGTTGGATCGCAGCTAAAACAGTTAATAAAGTGCGAATGGCAAGAACAAGAAGCATAAGAGCAAGAGCAAGAGCAGCCATCAAATTGATTGGCAGAAACAGTTACGTTTTTATATACATATGTACATATGTATGTTAGTTTGTGTGTACATTAAAGAAGTCAAAGGGGTGCGTGCCATGTCTTTTAGCTTTTGACAGTTGGTTTATCAGTTTGATTGAGACCAAACAAGCCAAAGAAGAAGTTTACAGGTAATCATCATTCATCTGGCAACATTGTGCGTGGCCCCAGAGAACGCACACAGCCAAACTAAGAGAGAGAGAGAGAGAGAGTGAGAGAGCGCACGCAAAAGAGAGGCTGTCACTGTGAATGCCAATGTCAAGGCAATTAGCCAAAAGCCGGTTGGAAAAATCAACAACGAGGCGCAGCAAAAACAATGCCAACATAAAAGTAGCAGCGGCGGCGGCAGCGCAACTAACAGCAGCAGCAGCAGCAGCAGCAGAGGAGGACGTAGATGAGGAGAAAAATCGTAAAACAAGGCAAGCGCAAAATAAAAAGCTATGAAATGGAGCTTAAGTCACAGAGCTGGCAGAGCGACTGTGACGTCGGCTGCCATAGATTTTATGACTTGCAAGAGGTGCGCGCAGGTGGCGTGCAGGCTACTGAAGGGGGAGGGGGGGGGGGGGGATGCACAAAGCGAAGATGTTTGCTTGGAACTGCGGTTACACCTGGAACTGGAGCACGTTAAGTGAGAGAGGAAAAAATAAGTGTGTGCGTGTGTGTGTGTGTGTGTTGAAAAGAAGAAGCAGGTCCGATTGCATTTGGAGCCATGTTTGGGCAAGGCACGTTGAAAGGAATTCACTTACTTTCTTTGTTGCTCACTGAGCCTCGCTTGTTGTTGTTGTTGCTATTGTTGTTACTGTTGTCACTGGAGCTGCTGCTTTAATTACCGTTTTAAATGGCAGTTTTGCTTATTATCCTTTGCCCGCGCGCGTTTGCTCTCTATCTCCCTCTACTCTCGCTCTGTCTGGCTCTTTACACCGATGCGTTTTGGTCTGCTTTGGTTAGCGTTAGCTTTAGCTTTAGTTTTAGTCGCCGTCGCTTTTCGTCGTTTTCTATTTGCGCTCCTCTGCTTTTGCCGGTGTTTCTACTACGCCTTCGCCTGTCACTGTGTGCGTGAGTTTGCCTGTACGTGTGCGTGTGTGTGTGTGTCTGTATTTGTATCGTCTCGTTTGCGTCTGCTGTGTGTGTGTATGTGTGTGCGTGTGTGTGTGTGTAAGTCTGTTACACCCTTCACTTCCAATTCGAATTTAGTTAGGTAGACGAACAAAGTAACTTTGGCCTCAGTTCAAGTTCACTCACAATAAAAAATCAGAAAAAAAATATGTATACGTAAACAAATCACAGGCAACAATTATCGAAATGTGTTTTTTTTTTTTTTGTTGATTGCTTTTTCTCAGGTATTATTTGTTTACGGCAGCTTTATGCTTTTGCTTGCTGGCGCCTATTCACATTCGTATGCGTGCGTGTGTGTGTGTGTGTGTGTGTTTGGTATGGCAAAAGGATTTTTCACGATTTCAAATTGGCTGACAGACGCATGCGCGCACAATAGGACCACAAGATTCGTTTAAAGAACACAACCGCTCACGACCTGCTCTCGAATTGGAATGAAAACCCGTTGCAGAGCCATATACAATTTAAATCCAACCGCTAAGTAACAGTCTGTTATTGCGCTGTTAACTCAATCAGACTGTTAACGCGATTGCGAGCAACGTTAACATAAACTGAAGCCGCAAGAAATTAGCAAATCGACACTTTAACGTAAAGCGAAGCAATGTGCACTTGAAGAGTAGCAGATTAAACTAAAATGTAGAAATTTAATTGAATGATAACATTCGTTAAACTCACACGATACTGTTCGTATTACATTTCTTAACACTAACCACTGTTAAATTTAACATGCTGATTCTTTGCTTAAAGCAACAGTTAGTTAACATAGCGCATAGTTAGCCAAGTCCAAGTCTTGCCAACTCGGCGAAAGTGCTGTTAGGACTGTTGTATTTTTAAAATGTAACGGTAAATGGGCAAAGGAAATGCGCATAACTTGAACTTGACGAATTGCCGCTAGATAGCAGTCGCCACGCAATTTGATTTACAGCTATCCCAAAACCAACAGCAACAACATCAGCAACAGCTGCCCAACTGCAACCGACTGGCTGCATGCTTGGCAAACTGGCTAACTGGCAACTGGCGCCATGCTCTGTTAATTTTTTAAATGCGCGCATGCATCTTTTGGCTGCACTCGGCATTCGCCTTATTGCTTTTCATTACATTTAGCACGTTACTTTTTCGGACTGCACTTAACCGAACTTTCATGAGAGTGTGCAGAAAAACAGAAAAAAAAGATGCAAAAAGAAAAAAAATTGCCAGCCAGCTGCCGATTTCACCGTCAGTTGTGCACGTCTCTGCAAATGCAAGAGCAAGCGTACCGAATCCTTAAAGAAACAATCCATTAATATTTATAATGGCCCACACACATACACACGCACACATGGTGTGTGTTTGACTGTAAATAGTTTACAGTTGTTAATCGCTGCATATTTCTTTTTTTCTTGCCAGCTTTTTTTGAGCTAAACTATTTTTGTGCATTGCATGCCTTATGATTTTCTGCAATTTTAAACAAGACAATTATGAGCCGCAAACTATGCTTGGCACGCGGGGCCGCCCAAAAAACACACACACACACACACACACACACACAGACACAAAACAATTAATGATTAGAAAGAAAGAAAGAAAGAAAGAAAAGAAAAAAGGCCAAACAGTTGGTCAACTGCAACTGTTATTGGTTCGAATCTGTATTATAACAGAGTTGTCAACGGCAAACAAAATTGTCACAACAGTTGGCAGCACTGTCGTTCACAGTGGCTAACAGCTGATGCACAGCAGGCAGGCAGTCAAGTTGACAGCTTGGTCACAGAACCGAACCAGAACAACGCGAAACAAAATCGAAACGAAATAATGCTCAGTTAATTTAAATTTAAGTATTTTCAAGAGCAACATTTTTGGAATTGTGTGTGGTGCGGGCAAACGCCGTGTTTTTAACGCTTCAACGTTACGACCAATACGCGACCGCATTTCACATGCTACGTTTTGGCTAGTTTCATTCAACAAAACAAATTGATTCCGACTAGCCGCCAGCAGCCCGCAAGACAGCCAAACAAAATTTCGCCCTATTGGACAACAATTTTTTTTGTTTTATATATTGTTTTTTTTTTTTTTTTTGTTTGTTCTTGCTTTGCGGATACGTTGGACGTGGTGGGGGCTGCCCGAAACACACAACAAATCAATTAAAAAAGGCTGTGAAGATGGCGCGTGCATTACAATAAACGCAAAATTAATGACAAAGAAAAAAATAGATAATAAAAAAAAAGTAAAGAAAACACAACAACAAATTGCACAAGAAACGCTCAAATTAACTGACTGGGGGGGGGTTGTTGGTCGCATATAGCCGCAGCTAGCCAATACTCAAACCCAAATACCCAGCATTAAACAAAGCCAAGCAGCAACAACAACAACAGCGAACGTCGCTACCCAGCAATAACAACAACAATATAGTTCTGAACAGCCGTCGCTTGTTGTCTCGCTCACTCTCTTGCCTTCGCACGTCTGTGATTTGGCGGGGGTGTTGGGCAGCGCGTGCTCAAACAAAAACAAAAAACAACAACAACAAGAACACCACAACATAACATTTCCGCATTTTAAATATCAACAACAAGAATTCTACATAGAACACGTTTAGGCCGTGGCGCTGCCATCGTGTGAACAACAACAGCAGCACCACCATCAGAGGAGAGCGGCAACAATAACAATAATAACATAGCCAAGGACACGTACTTGAAACGTATGTGCAGCACACACACACGCACACCAAATGGATGTCCTGGAACTGCTCCGTGCGAGCGCCAACGGCTGTTACAACACATTATTCTCCGATGCCTGGTTTCAATATGTGTCCAAACAAATCGCGACCACGGTAAGTGCCAATATTTATGCTTTAAGCTACAAGTACAATAGACACACACACGCACACAGAAAACACACGTGCACAGCTTGTCTTTTCTTTGTCTTGACGGGGGCTCGTCGTGACTCATATTTGTACAAAGTGCACTGTTAAGTTGCTGCCAGGATAACATGTCAACGGTTGGTGTCTGAGATAAGTGCCGATTGTTGCGATCGTCGAGAAGCAGCAGCAGCAGCCGCAGCAACTGCTGCTGTTACTATTGCTGTTGTTGGGATTGTCTTATTTTCGTCTCTTTTACCACACGCGCAAGCATATACAAAATATATGTATATGTATATGTGTGTGTGTGTGTGAGTGTGTTTGGCATTTCGATTTGCGCACACTTCCGTCAACATAAGACGATCGCTCACTGGGTTTTGATTCGCAGACAAAAGCTGCCAACTTACATAAACATGCTCAGAGAAAATAAATATGTACATACAGTTACAGTTACTAAAAAAAATAATGGCTACAAAAATATGAAATATTTTGAAAAAGTTATCATTTCCTTTTTTTTTTTTTCCTTTATAAACTTTGAACGCATTTATATCTGTCTTAATCTTATAAATGTAATAAGGTGAGGTTAGCTGTGTGTTCATAGATATGTGCCCATGTATGTTATGTATGCACGTATGTATGTGTGTATGTCTTATCGTTGGGCATAGTGATAATAGCTTAAAGCCTGACCCCGAAAGCGCATCAGCAGTGCTTAGGCCATAACTGATTACGCTGATTAGACAGCCAATGGCAGTTGGCAATGGCAATTGGAATTAGTTGGGTAAATCAAATAAATCGGCCAAATAGAACAATAACACAGCACGTGCAGCAGTGGCAGCGGCAGAGGCAGCGACAGCGGCGGCGACGCACCCGCCCCCAAAACACCCAAATCAGTTAGCCATAATTCAATTAACCCCTTGGGGCCAAATCAATTGAGAGCCGTCTTGTGACTTGTTTGTTGCCAAGCGTTGATCCAAGACACAAAAACCAAGTGAAGGTTGCCCGACTGGCAGTTACCCTATATCCAGTTGTGCATTATATACACATATACATTCATACATAAATATACACTCTTCAAAAATAAGTGTTGTAAGGGGGAAGGGGGGGGGGGGGGGTTAAGCTGAGATTATTAAAAACGTTGGCTAAATATCGATATTTTGACGAAGTGCAGCAATCGGAGAAGATACTGTCTGTTTTTATTTGAGTGGATATACCCTTTTTCTGCTCATTTTATAACGGTTGCAGGGTATTGCACAATTAAGAAATCATCGCAGGTGCGTGCGAATACTAGCATACATACACACAGACACAGACGCACATGCACATGCATGCTTAGTGGATTTATTTTTGTGCCTAGTCATACTTAGAAATCGAAGTAATGTGGAAAATTGTGTTATCGTGACGCCGACCGACGGCGCAGCAGCGCTTCCAATTAGCTGGAAATAAGACATCGGCAATATCAATCGTTGTTTGTTTTTGTTGTGCTTTATTGCGTGTGCGTTTTCAATTTGAATTTGTTGTGGCGCTGCCGTCACTATTTTGATTTTATATTTGCCGCATTCGCTGAAACCTGTTACAGAAATAAACCATAAGCGAAATGCAAGAACAACAAACACAGCAACTGCAGCCGCGCTGCAGCGACAGCGAATGTCAAAAACAAAGCAAATGAGAATTCAAACGCGGAAGGGGGCAGCGCGCATAACAACAACAAGTGTTGGCAGCGACGCGTCAACATTAACATTGCAAAATGTATTTTGATTGAGACGCAAATTAGTAGGAGCGCAAGAGCGCAAGAGAGCAAGAGAGCAAGAGAGCGAGAGCGCACGTGTGAGAGTGAGTAAGACTTTTAAGTGTGCTCGCTCATATGCATAAGCATTACAGTTCTTTTTATTTTTGTATGATTTGCATGAAAAGAGAGAGAGAGAGAGAGAGAGCGAGAGGAAGATGGGCAATATGTAACGCACAAAGGAGAGCATCTCTGTAAACTTGTCTAAATAAAGAAAAACTATGCCCCATAGGCAAGAGACATATGTATGTATGTATGTATGTACATATGCAGTAAATGGAAAACCTTGTAAATAAAGTTCTATGTGTCCGTGTAAAATGAAGATTGCAAGAGCATTAAGTCGTCGGCACGCCGAATACACTTTTATCATATTGTTGATTTTCCTCACTCATTGTTATTGTTATTGTTATCGATATCCGCCCGCAGATGTACTGGTACGGCGCGCTGCTTGTTATCGGCGTGCTGTTCATCGCCTGGTTCCTGTACTTTAAGCGGCTGGCACGGCTGCGCCTGCGCGATGAGATCGCCCGATCGCTGAGCGCCGTCACGTCGTCGTCGGGCGGCGATCATCGGGGCCTGCGGTTCCGCAAGCGGGACAAGATGCTCTTCTATGGCCGCCGGATGCTGCGCAAAATGAAGAACGTCAGCGGGCAGATGTACAGCAGCGGCAAGGGCTATAAACGGCGGGCGGTGATGCGTTTCGCACGCCGCATCCTGCAGCTGCAGCGCGAGAACAGGCCGCTGGAAATGAAGACTGTGGAGCCGCCGGCCGAATATCTGGAGGAGACCATCGAGGGCAGCGATCGCGTGCCGCCGGATGCACTCTATATGCTCCAGAGCATACGCATCTTTGGCCATTTCGAGAAGCCCATCTTTCTAAAGCTCTGCAAGCATACACAGCTCCTCCAGCTGATGGCCGGTGATTACCTATTCAAGATCACCGATCCCGATGACAGCGTCTACATTGTCCAGTCGGGCATGATCAATGTCTACATTTGCAATGCCGACGGCAGCACCCTTTCCCTGAAAACGGTCCGCAAGGGCGAATCTGTGACATCGCTGCTCAGCTTCATCGATGTGCTCTCCGGCAATTCCAGCTACTACAAGACGGTCACGGCCAAGGCCATGGAGAAGTCTGTCGTCATACGGCTGCCCATGCAGGTGAGTTGTCAACTGTCGTGTGGCCAGTGTTGCCAACTGACGACCAGAATACAGTGTAACCAACTAATAGATACCCTATACTCGATTGGCATACATGTATATGTTAATATACCAAAAATCTTGTATTCCTACTGAAATACAATTATTTCAAAGGATACAGGGTGTAAGGGGGTTACAGAGCAATTAGGTAAGAGTGTAGGAGATACCCTGTAAATATTTACTTATAGTAAAAGGAAAAAAAACAGGTCTGAATTTCGATATTTATCGATTGTGGGGAAATGATGGAAATAAGTAGACAAAGAAAAGGAAGAGGAAATAATTTTGACACCATTTTAAGGGATATAGGGTATTTAGGAAAGCTATTGAAACACTCACCGAAAAATGAACTTACCCATATTGTTGTTGCTGCTAATCCACAGGCCTTCGAGGAGGTGTTCGAGGAGAATCCGGATGTGATGATACGGGTAATACAGGTGATCATGATACGGCTGCAGCGTGTACTCTTCACGGCGCTGCGCAACTATTTGGGTCTCAATGCGGAGCTCGTACAGAACCATATGCGGACCAAGGGCAGCAGCGTCGTTCCAAATACGGTCGGGGGCGCGGTGCTCGCCCAGGCGTCGCAGGCATCCCGTCCGGCGGCACGAGCGCCAACATCGCCGAATTCACGTTTTTCGCGCGAGGAGCACACGCTCTCCGATCCGGATCCCAATCCGAATGCGAATACCCTGCAATTTGCCGAGGTGCACGGCGATGCGCCGTACATTGATCTCTACCATCATCAGCAGCAGCAGCAGTCGAGCGCCGTCTCCGTCCACCAGGCGGGCACGCGACGCAGCTCGGCCACGTACGGACCGAGCGGTGAATCGCCCAACGGCAATGCCAACAATGCGCCCGGCACATCCATCGATCAGCGTCTGGTGCAGTCGTCCGCCGTGGAGAGTCTGCGCCGTGAGCTGGGCCTTAGCGAAGATGATGCCCAGATCATTGAGCCGTTTGTTGAGGTGCGCGAACTGGAGCCGAATGTCACCCTCATCACCGAGGGCAATTCGGACGATGTTTGCGTCTGGTTCGTGATGACCGGCACCTTGGCCGTCTACCAGAGCAATGCGGATGCAACGCGTGCCACCAAGCAGGACAGCAAGCACGATATGCTTATCCATTTCGTGCATCCCGGCGAAATAGTCGGCGGCCTGGCGATGCTCACCGGCGAGGCGAGCGCCTATACCATCCGTGCGCGAAGCAACAGTCGCGTGGCCTACATACGGCGCGCCGCCATCTATCAGTGAGTTCTTCACCATCCAAATCCATCTATTTTCCGCCTCTTTGCGTGGTTTCATCAAAGTCATTCAAACCAGCAACGTTTTTTTTTTAGTTAATTTCGCTCGTTAATCGTTAATATCTGGCATTACATGGCATCCACGAGACTGGTGAAAATTCAAACTCATTTCTTCACATACTATTTTCCGCCAATTGGCGTGGATTCAACAAGGCCACATAAATATTTCATGGCTCTTTTGAAAAAAACATAATTTAAAGCCGATCGCATTACAAATTTCAGTTTTCATCTTGCAATCTCGAATATTTTCATTTTCATTTTCATTTTCACCGAAAATCGTGGATTTAACAAAACCGATTCATCACATCTTCGAAAATTGCCTACATAATATTATTAGATAATTTATTTCAAACAATTTCAAATTTCATCTTGCAATCTCGAATATTCATATTCATATTCACCTAAAATCGTGGATTTAACAAAACCGATCTTAGATAATTTGTTTCAAAAACTTACCTCCCCTCTTTTTCGTGCAGGATAATGCGGCAGCGTCCCCGCATCGTGCTCGATCTGGGCAATGGGGTGGTGCGTCGCCTGTCGCCGCTGGTGCGCCAATGCGACTATGCGCTGGACTGGATATTTCTGGAGTCGGGACGGGCCGTCTATCGGCAGGACGAGAGCAGCGACAGCACATATATTGTGCTGAGCGGACGCATGCGTTCGGTTATCACGCATCCGGGCGGCAAAAAGGAAATTATCGGTGAATACGGCAAGGGCGATCTGGTCGGCATTGTCGAAATGATAACGGAAACCTCACGGACCACAACCGTTATGGCTGTGCGCGACTCGGAGCTGGCCAAGCTGCCGGAGGGCCTCTTCAATGCGATCAAATTGCGCTATCCGATTGTGGTCACACGGCTGATCAGTTTTCTCAGTCATCGTTTTCTGGGTTCGATGCAGACGCGCGGCAGCAATGCAGCCGGCGGGCCCGTTGAGGCCAATCCCGTAACGCACAAATATTCAACGGTTGCCCTCGTGCCGATCACAGACGATGTGCCCCTGACGCCCTTCACCTACGAGCTCTACCATTCACTCTGTGCCATTGGTAAGTTGCCTCATTATAGATTATATCGATTGTGATTTAGTTTTTAGGAGTAGGCTCCCATATATACATATACCTATGCCCAATCGCAGAACGATCATTTTTCCCGATATATTATCAAATTATCATAATTTCGATAAGTATCGATCTCGAGACATGCATTTTGTAGCATAACTCGAAGACTAGAAGAGCTAGATACACCAAATTTGGTATGCAGGTTCTCCCATGGGAGATACACAGCTTAGGAATGTTTCAATTTTTGGAAACCTTTCGCCAATAGCCCCAAAATAACCCCATTGTCAAAGATAGAGCAGATACTTTCTTTTGTGCCTTATTTAAGCCCTCAAAATTTCAAAATGATCGGACTATGAGCACCGAAGTTAGACAAGAATGTGTCGTATGGCAAACATAGGTTAGGGAAAGAAAAGGAAAGGAAAGGAAAGGAAAGAAGAAGCGCAGCCGATGCTTAGAGTACGCTGCTTGCCTCACATATATTCACCTGTGCTCAATCACAGAACGATATTTTTTTTGATATGTTATCGAGTTTTGCAAAATATCGATAAATATCGATTTGAAAACATATATTCTGTAGCATAACAGCTTGTGGCCTTCCAAAATCGAACTGTAATCCATTTTCTTGTTTTGTTTTTTGTTTGTCGTGCAGGTCCTGTGCTGCGTCTGACATCGGAGGTGGTGCGCAAGCAGCTGGGCATTAACATCTTTGAGGCGGCCAACGAGTACCGCCTGACCTCGTGGCTGGCCCAGCAGGAGGATCGCAACATAATCACGCTGTACCAGTGCGATAGCTCGCTGAGTCCCTGGACACAGCGCTGTATGCGACAGGCGGACGTGGTGCTGATTGTGGGCCTTGGCGAGCGCTCCCATTTGGTTGGCAAGTTCGAGCGGGAGATTGACAAACTGGCGATGCGCACACAGAAGGAGCTGGTCCTGCTCTATCCGGAGACCACAAACGCCAAGCCGGCGAACACGCTCAGCTGGCTAAATGCACGTCCCTGGGTGACCAAGCATCATCATGTGCTCTGCGTGAAGCGCATCTTTACGCGCAAGAGCCAGTATCGCATTGTGAGTATGGGATAATAATAACCCACCCTCCATATATACACCCCCCCATTAACCGCTCTCTTCCTCTTCCAACTCCAGAACGATCTCTATAGTCGCGTGCTGCTCTCCGAGCCGAATATGCATTCCGATTTCTCGCGTCTCGCCCGCTGGCTAACTGGCAATTCGATTGGCCTTGTCTTGGGCGGCGGCGGTGCCCGTGGTGCTGCCCACATTGGCATGCTGAAGGCCATCCAGGAGGCGGGCATACCCATTGACATGGTGGGCGGCGTCAGCATCGGTGCCCTCATGGGCGCCCTCTGGTGCTCCGAACGCAACATAACCACCGTCACGCAGAAGGCGCGCGAATGGTCCAAAGTATGTTAACAGCACATTCAATATTTGACTAAGTATATGTATATGCATATCAAATCAGGGCTATTGCAAAGATGTTCGCCTCACAGTTAGAACCAGTGCTTTTTCTTTGATCCTTTTCATGGAAAACCCATTTAAACACACAAAATACACAGCTGGAAACAATCTATGTAGATATTTTACACGAGCCAAGCACGGGCCGATCCCTTCAAGGGACCTGGTCGAGCTGCCCAATCCAGTTGGATTTGGGTCACCAGGAATGTGTCTCTCCTATTCTTGTACAGTCTAAGCAGTCGAGTCGATAAAGTCTCTCGAAATCTTACCCAAATCGGACTGATATATTATGTAGCTCCTTTAGGAGCGATCAGTGGATATTAAGTTCTTTTTTTAAAGCCTATTTTTCAAGATAGAAATTGGAATCGAATTACGAAATACAATACAACTTTTGGAGGAAAGATCGCTAACGAAAAAAATGTCCATTTTTTTTGAACCCGTTTTGTTTTTGATTGCAGAAAATGACAAAATGGTTCCTTCAACTGCTGGACCTCACGTATCCCATAACATCGATGTTCTCCGGCCGTGAGTTCAACAAGACGATACACGACACCTTCGGGGATGTGAGCATCGAGGATCTGTGGATACCGTATTTTACGCTCACCACCGACATAACCGCCAGTTGCCATCGCATTCACACCAACGGTGAGTGTCCATCGGCTGCGGCTGCGGCTGCTGCTGCGGCTGCTGTTGCCATCTCATTTACTCATTTAGCTGCTTGTCTTTAGATTTGTGCATTCTCTTTAGCTTGCATTTGTTTCTCTTACGCTTTGTTATCATTATTTTTGTTAGTGTTAAATGCTTCTTTGGTTTGTTTATTGTTACTGTTATTCTCGCTTGCTGTTTGATACTTTGATGTAGCTCGTAGCAAGAACACAAACACACACACACACACACACACACACCCGCATATATGTACATACACAGGCACGAGTATATGCCTGTACACACATGTAATTAAGAGAGACATTCACGCAACTCTCATTCAAGAGTGACACACATTATTGCTCTTTATGTGACGTCATCAACTGGCAGCACACAGCACACAGTTGAGTCCTTCTCAGTTGTTGTTGTTGTTGTTGTTGCCGTTGTTGTTGTTGTTGTTGTTCTTGTTGCTGTTGTAATAAATTCTTTGGCGGAGATGTGGGCGGGGCGGTCAGCCGACATCTTTAAACCGGTTAACCGTGTATTTGGTTGTTGTTCTATTTATTTATTTTTAACGTAAATACATGTTGCATTGTCTTTCGTCAAAAGTGTTGCACTTGCTATTCCCCATTCTGCTGCGTGTCCAATTTGTGCGTGCGTGTCTGTGTCTTAGCTAGAAACTAACCTGCTGACAATAATACAAATGAATCCTAATCAATGAACGATCTGTGATTGGTCAACAATATTCTCTTTCGCTCGCTCACAAAACGCTCAAATTCAAAGCTCTTTCTCTTTCTCTCTTTCTACACACACCCACACACATACATACATACATACATACATACATACATACATACACACACACACACACACACATGCTCGCTCACTTGCCAAATAAACTGTCGCAGGATCTCTGTGGCGTTATGTGCGCTCCTCAATGTCACTCAGCGGCTATATGCCGCCGCTATGCGATCCACAAGATGGACATCTTCTGCTGGATGGCGGCTATGTAAATAATTTGCCAGGTAAATAGCAACTAGCAACTAGCAACTAAAAAACAAAAAAAAAAAAAAACTAAAAAAAATTATAAATTAAATAAGCAATGTTGAAAAACAACCGATAATCTATTCTTTAAATATCAATTTTCAATTTAGAGCTATTGGTGGCACAGAGAGCGCAGAGTGTTGGATATATTCTCAGTGACTGTGTAACTGTAACTGTTAATTGGTTAATTGCATTGCATTGCAATACTTGTTCGCCCAATAGCCCCCTTCCCCCTCCTCCCCCGCCAAGAGAGTGCGCACACAACAAAATTTTCGCCCTGTTGGCAGCGCTGCCATTGATTAGAGACCTGTGTGTGGATCGCATTTCTAAAGCGGCCATTTTGGCTTTGTTTCTCACGCACACGCACACGCACATGAACATACACATACATCGACACACGTATGTACAAAGAATTAGTTGAATTTACTAGCTCTCTTAAAAACATGATCTGTACATTGAAACATTTGTATATACATACATATGTACATATACATATTTAATAGCAGACACTTTTAGTTGCTGTTGCATTTTTTTGAGTTGTGTATTTTTTGTATTTGTATGTGATTTTTTTGTTGTACTTTTAAATGCTGTTAAAACATAGAACTTGACATGAATCTTCAACGTAGTCTAGCACAAGAGTAAATATGCATAAACCGTTAATTCGTTTGCGCACACCCATACACACAGATACACACACACAGCAACGATGGCAATAAAATTGTGTATTCTTTTTCTCTTCTCTCTCTCTCTCTTTCTCTCTGTCTCTCCACATACAAACTATACACAAATATGCACATGTATATGTGTGCTACTCTCAACTTGTCCACATCCACACACACACACACACACACATATATATACATACTGTCCATTTTGCGTGTGTGATGATGTGTGTTACCATTTGATCAGGTCATCTGTGGCGTTATTGTCGCGCCAGCATGTCCATTGCCGGCGTCTTTCCCCCCTTCTGTGACTATCGTGACGGGCACCTGCTGCTCGACGGATGCTATACGAACAATGTGCCAGGTAACCATTAACAGTAACAGAAACAGTAGCTGAATCCAACACTCTGCTTCCGCTGGACAACATACTGTTTTGATAGCTCAACAAATTTTAACATTCTGCTAACATTTATATAACATTTATGTAAAACAAACAACAACAACAACAACAATATAGCTGATGTTATGCACAATCTGGGCGCCGCGCACATAATTGCCATTGATGTCGGCTCACAGGACGACACGGATCTGACCAACTATGGCGACGATCTGAGCGGCTGGTGGCTGCTTTATAAGAAATGGAATCCCTTCACATCGCCCGTCAAAGTGCCCGATCTGCCGGACATACAATCTCGACTCGCCTACGTGTCCTGTGTTCGTCAGCTTGAGGTGAGTATTTCAGACTAGAGATGGGCGTGTTACAGAATTTTTAAAAAACGACACGAAATGTGAATCAATTATGTATACGTATATTTATATATATTTATTTAACATTTTATTTAATTAGAAGAAAGAACTTGATTCGTGACGAGAAAAACAAACTAAAGTCCCCTCAAAAGTTGCCTGATAAATAGTATAAATTTTTTTTTTTTTCGCAGGAAGTGAAAAACTCGGACTATTGCGAGTATATACGGCCACCTATAGATAAATATAAGACGCTCGCCTTTGGCAGCTTCGATGAGATACGCGACGTGGGCTATGTTTTTGGCAAGAACTACTTCGATAACATGGCCAAGGCGGGCCGTTTGGGCCGCTTCAATCAGTGGTTCAACAAGGAGCCGCCGAAGCGCGGCAACCACGCCTCCCTCAACGAATACACGTTCATCGATCTGGCGCAGATCGTCTGCAAGCTGCCGGAGACATATGCCCTAAATACGGCCGATATATTCAGCGAGGATGAGGATTTCGATGGCTACATTTCCGAGCCAACAACTCTAAATATGGTACATATTGACTATTAATGCGAGCATACCTTTTATACCCTGCCACAGGGCATGTTTTCGCTCCTCTGTCCATAAGGGAATGCAATTTTGTGCTTTCGATAAGTCTTTTAATCTTTCACGATTCGATAAATATCGACTTGCAGCCGAAATCGATAAATATCGATTTGCTGCCGAAATCGATAAATATCGATTTGCAGCTGACAAGATCAAAAGAATCGAATGAGAAAGTGAAAAGTTATGTAGAAATGAAAACAAATTTGATGGATAATTACCAGCAGAGAGAGCTGTGGGCTTAGGGTATGCACAGGGTATCCGGCTAGTCGGGCACACCCGACTAGAGCACTTTTGCTTGTACTGAATCGTATTTTGTCTGTGCGCAGGATCGACATCGCATACAAGTGCCTCGGGCGGGCAACTCGCTATCCTTCTCAGAGACTGAAATGGACTCCGATGTGGAGATCGACCTGGAGCTGGAGCGCAAGGCGGACAAGGCGACGCAATCGACGCCGCCGACGCCAAACAAGAAGCAGGCACTGTCTCCGACCCCCAGCCAGGCGAACCTGTTGCCCGTGTTGCCCCCCAGCCACAAGACGAAGGAGAAGAATCCCAGCTACGACAAACTGGACAGGGAGCACAAGCGTCGACAGAAGTCCAAGCAGAAACAGCCGGAAAGATCCTCGATGCAGCACAGGGACAGCATGGTCACATTGCATCCGGCCACAATGGCCGAGGCAACAACACAAACAGTGCTGCATTCCAGCGAGGAGGATGACGTCAAGCAGCTGCAGCAGGAGCCGAAGCCGGGGCCGAAGTCAGAAGAGCAGCAGAAGGAGCAGCAGGATCAGCAGGAGCAGCAGCAGGGGAATATAACAAAAACGGATACCAAAAACTAGATATAAATGGAAGGGCATCCGTCTGAGATAAATATATATATATACATATATACGATATATATTTTCATAGCCGGAGTCGGAGCAGAAGCCGGAACCGGAACCGGAACCGGAACCTGAGCGGGAGTTGGAGCTGGAGCTGGAGCGGGTGGAGCAAACGGACCATTCAACTGGCCAACAAAATCTCCATTAATTATGTAGTAAATAATGACAATGAAATCGTTATCGTTTAGTTAAATAAGTGTACATCATATTTAGGCTTAGCTTTAGCTAATCACACACACACACACACACACACACACACCCACTACACACACACGCACACGCACGCACACACACTTAAATCCCTACCCACAAGAAAAGACACCGAATTGCAGCAGCTGCTCTCACATCTATGTATGTACGCTTGTATCTATGTATGTGTATATGTATATATATACATATATATAAATAGATGTATATATGCATATATATGCGTACATGCATGTATATGCTTTATATAACACAGAGCTCTACACATATATATATATATATATGTATATATTTTTACTGAATCCAAATGATATGTACACACACATTGATATTTTATATATACGTATATATGCTCCTAGTTGATGTATGTGGCATATATATGCATACATATATACGATATATATATCTAATTATGTATATATATATATATAAACAATTATATATATATATATGGCATCTCCCTGCCTCTCCCCTCTCCCATTCTCACACACAACCTACACAGCTCCTTAGTTTTAATTATGAAAAAAGAAGAAGAAGAACAACAACAACAACAACAGAAAAGAGAAACAAGGAGATCGTTTTTTTTTATGGTCGATTTTTTTTTTAAGCTGAGCAAGCAAATAAATGTCAACAATTTGAAAGTACAATCCATAAAGTCTTTTATTTTTGTTATTTCCTTTTTATTACCTTTAGCTCCCACCTGGAGCGCCCATATATTCAGCTAATGTATTGTGTTCCCTGCAAAATAATGATTCAAATTTTTTCATTAAATTTTAACTGGTAATATTGTTAGTTTTCTTAGCAATTTTTAAAAGAAACCTTTCAGTTCAGTTTAGATTCGCGACTTCCTAGCTCTTGCGAGTCAGTCAGACAATCAGTCTATCAGTCAATCAATCAGTAAGTTAATCAATCAGTCAGTCAGTTAATCAGTCAGACAGTCAATCAGTCAGTCAATCTGTCAGTCTATCAGTCATTCAGTCAGTCATCCCAATCGATTAGTCAGAGTCAGTCAGTCAATCAGCCAGTTAATCAATCAGTCAGTTAATCAGTCAGTTAATCTGTCAGTCAACCAATCAGTCAGTCAGACAATCAGTCTATCAGTCATTCAGTCAGTCATCTTAATCAATTAGTCAGAGTTAGTCAATCAGCCAGTTAATCAATCAGTCAGTAATCCAATCAGTCATTCAATCAGTCAGTTAATCAGTCAGACAGTCAATCAGTCAGTCAATCAGTCAATCAATCAGTCAATCTGTCAGTCTATCATTCATTCAGTCAGTCATCCTAATCCATTAGTCAGAGTCAGTCAGTCAATCAGCCAGTTAATCAATCAGTCAGTTAATCAATCAGTCAGTTAATCTGTCAGTCAACCAATCAGTCAGTCAGTCAATCAGTCAGTCAGTCAGTCAGTTAGTCAGTCAGTTAGTCAAAAAACCCCGTTCAAATGTGTTTATGATAACTGGGACTTGAAATATTTATGTACATTTTATTACATATAATGTTTTTGTGTTGAAATTAAACTTTTCTTTCACACGCAACGCATCGTGCTGAGTCGTGCGTGTTCGTGTCACGCGCCCAACTCTATTGTTTAATTTTGTTAGTCTCCGAGCTCAACGACTTGATTGATTGATTGATTGACTAATTGATGTTCTAGGCTCAAGCCGTCGCAGCTGGAAAGCTGAGCTTTTCATTGTTCTATAATGTCACGTAAGTGGAATTGGAGGCAGGAAAATTCCACCCGCAAGTGTGAAAAGCACGTGAAAACTTGTTTGTTTATCGTTTATCGATTTGAAGGGAATACATATCTGTGCAAAATATATTAAAGAAAAAAAAAACTTGGCCTTGGCTAATCTGAGTATATATATAATATATGATAAATATATCTGTACATTACAAATATTGCTCGATTGAAATTGATTGATTGAAAGACTGAAACCCTTCCGCCGGAATTGTGGATTTATATATTCAAAGTAGAAATGTTGAGCTTACACATACAAATGAAACGAACGGGAGGGTGTGGGGGGATGGTCGGGCAACGAAATGTGAGGGACTATAACGATTACTCCACGAGCATGAGCAGCTCGTCGCAGAGCTCGGCGAGGAAGCGGGCGTCGAGCACCTGCTGGGCCACCGGCAGCTGCGGCAGCTGCGGCAGCAACTGTTTGTCCTTGCACGGCGGCGACTCCTGCGGCATGTCCAGCTGTGCGGCTGTCCACAGCTCCTCCAATGGATACGACTCGTAGACGTAAACGAATTCCGAGTCCTCCAGCAGCTGGACAGCTGCCGCCTGCTGGGCCGGCAGGATGTGTGCTCCACTCAATGCCAGTCCGGCTCCGGCCCCGGCCACGAGTCCAACTTCGGCTGCGGCTCTGGCCCTGGCCCCGTCTCCGGTGGCCAAGGGATACATGCTTTTTGATTTGCCGGGCCTTGGCGTCCGATTCGGCGGCAACGGCATCCGGCTAAACATGGGCCGCATCGTCAGCTGCCGTCCGACCACGAGCAGCTCCAGCGGCGCCGCCTTCAAGCTGGCCAGCTTGTTCGGCTTCCGTTGCGACGACTGCGCAGCACCAGCTTTGCTGCATTTAACGTTCACGTTAACGTTGACGTTTACGTTAATGGGGGTCGGCCGTAGGGCAATGCCTCGGCATTTTTCGTTTGGGCGTTTGGCCAGTGCTGGCAGATTTTTAGCTGCTGCGCCAGTGCTGCCAGATCGCAGCTGATGGCCACGGCCACGGCCACGACCAGTGCTGCCCATGCTGTTGCTCAACTCCATCTGTTCGCCGTCCAATTGAATGCTGATTTATCTGCCGTAAAAAGTGTTTGGTATTTCAACAAGTTTGCTCTTTAGCTCTTTTTGATTTGTTCCAATACCAGAATTTTGCTGCTAATTGAAAGCAAACGCAACGCAACGCAACGCAACGCTATGCGATAGTTGGCCAGTTGACGTTAGGCTTTGAATTTGGCCAAATCATCGATTAGCCTGGCAGCACTCGACATGGACAATTCTCCCGTTTTGGCAGATGGCAATAGTTGGACATCTCTGTTGTTAGCTGTCAACTGGTAATATGAAAAAAAAAAATGAACAAATTTCTGCAGCTCAATAAAAACATGAATGTGTCCTCTGCTGCGCAGGAGCCGGACTGCAATAACGCCGTGCTATTGGGCATTGCGACCGCTCCAGGCAAGTGAAAAAACAAATAGCACAGCATTTTCGTACAAATTCTAACCTCACTTTGAACGTGTTTTTTTTTTTTTGCTACTTATGTCTAGGCAAGAAGAAGAAGAAGAAGAAGAATAAAAAGTGCCGCAATGCTATGCCGGAATTCGTGACCAATAGGAAGCCACGCTATTTACCAAATCTAAAGGAGCTCGTCTTCAACAGGGGCTACATCGACGTGGACGCGATTGTGATGAGCACGCTGTCGCCGCTGGAGCATCGCCATGATCCGGAGGCTGCAGCTCAGTTGCAGGATGTGCACTGCAGGGTGTTCGATTTGCCGCGTAATCTGTTTCCACGGCACTCGCCGCTTAATAAGATCACGTATTTGCCGCCGCAATTGCTGCCCGGCGAATTTGAGGCCGGCGGCGTCTTTCCGCCGGGTGTCCTGGCCCACAAATACTATCCGAACGGATTGCTGCAGCAGCATCATCGCGGCCCGACACCGCCGCTCTTTGTGGGCCGTCGTCGCGTCGAGCGGCACAATCTGCACAGGAGTCTGCCGTACACCTGTGCCGCCTACGTCGGCATGCCGTTGTCCCAGATACCGGTGCCGGTGCCGGTGTCGGTGTCGGTGCCGGTGTCGGTGCCGGTGCCGGTGCCCAACAACGGTGCCCCCAGCAACAACAGCAACAACAACAAAAAGAACAACTACAACAACAACAATGCCCAGCTGCATCCCGATCTCAGTGTTGGGTACATTATCGCGCATGCCGATTCGCTGGCCAAGGTGGATCGCTTTGCCCATCAGCAGACCCAATATCGCATATATGTGCCCGATCTGAGCACAGTTCCGATGATGGTGCACTTCAAGACCAAGCTCTGCATGACCGTCCTCTCCGATGTGGTGCATCCGCATGAGTCTGATGTGGCGTTTGCCGTTATGCGCGAGAGTCCGACCAAATTTCAGCTGCCCCAGGAGTATTTCTCCATGGAGGCCGGCTCGATTAAACGTGCACCGGTATTTTTGCCGCATCGCTACCTGCCGCCCGGCTTCGAGGCGGGCTGTGTCTTTGGGCCCGGCACCTTGCCGGAGAGTCTGTTTGAAGGCCTGCTGAGGGATGCGCCGCCCCAGATGCAGCGCAATGTGGCCATTATGCCACCAGTATTCATTGGCATGTGGAAGGAGCAGGTGACGCCATCGGTATTCATCTTTCCGCAGCAGAGCTTTATGGTGAACATGGCACCAGCTTCACCAACACCAATCCAGGTGCCGCCGGCTCAGCTGTCTGTGCTCGACGAGCTTAAGATGGCGCGCAAGGAGCTGAAGCCGTTGCCCAAGCTCTTTGAGCTAGAGCAGAAGCTCAATTTTCCTGACAGCCAAATGCAAAAGCGGCAAAACGATGAAAGGCAGACAGACGAGCAGGAGGATGATGAGGAGGACGATCTGGACGAGGAACTTGAGGAGGAACAGGAGGAGGAGGAGGACGAAGAGGAAGAGGAGGAGGAGGAGGAGACTGAGGACATCGGGGAGGAAGAGTTTGAATTTGAGGAAGAATATTTAGAAGAGTCCTTGGAAGAATTAGACGAGGATGAGCTGACACAGCATAATGAGCCATCCGACGACAACGAAGACGACCGTTCGACAACGCCCTTCTACAACGACGGGGACGACGGGGAGGACGATCGCGATACAACGCCATTCGATGGCTGCGCCAAGGAGGCCGGCGGCGCCAAGGCATTGGAAAAACCGGCAGAGCCAATGAAAGCCCGTAGCAATATGGGTCTGTGGTTCTTCACACTGAGCGGCCAGCCCGAGGACATTGTCGGTATGCTCAAGAAACTGGAAAACGCCGGCATCAAGCTGGCCTCCAACTATGTTGACCAGCATGTCATACGCCGTGCCCAGGTGCAATGGCTCGATCTGATGCTGCGCCGCGACGAGATACGCGCCCAAATGGCATCGACGGGCATGCTGCGCGCCCGTAAACCGAATCCAAGTCCGGTGCCAAGCACAACGAATCCGAACCAGGAACGATCCGCAGAGCGCAAGAGGCGCGGCAAGAAGTGCGCCGAATGCGGCTTGCAATGTAATTAGTATGAGAAAGCGAACGCAGAAATTCAAGTTCGATTAATTTCAAGAATCGCGCTCTATCGCACAACTATCGATACATATCGAAATACACCTTTATGCACATACATGTCGCGCGATCGTACCTTGCCAAAAATAAATCACATATATATATATATATTACACATATATAGTTATTTATTTGTATTATTTCCTATGTAGAGAAAATCAAAAACATTTATATATTTATATAATAAATTAAAAGAAATATGTAGCGAAAAAAAATGGAGTTTTCTATTTGCTTTTCTAGATCTACGTATACGTAATATTAGTGCATGCAATTGCCTTTTGATAAATAATTTCGATGCCTCTTCAAACATTTACAAATTGCATATTTATGATGTATATATACACATATATATATATATATATATGTATTAATCTCTTAACGATTGTTACAACAATTGAAATTTGGATATCTAATAAATATTTACAATAAAATTGCGCCAGAAGCAACAAACGAAACTGAGCGAAAAATTGAAATTGACAAAAGGTACAGAAAATACATATGAAACAACTGTTATATAAATCACTTTGTTAATTAATTTTAACATACTATCAGAATTCAAAAAAAAATAATTAAATAAATCTTGTTTTTAACATTTAATTTTTGTTTGTTTTTGTTTTTTAGTTGTCAATTTTTGATTAAAGCATAAATATACACATACAATTATTATATTCGGTTTTCTCAATCGTTTCTCATATCAATAAAGCAAAATAGATACTAATTACGAATTGACAATTCAGACAAACTGCTAGCTTAATTCTAGTACTGAGATTCCAAACAAGAATTTATCAGAAGAAAAAAAATTATTTGCAGAAAAAAAAACCGCTTGAGCAGTGAGTGCCCCTAATGCTAACGATCCTTTCCAAATTTGTTTGTGACCTGCCCAAATCTCTCTAGCTCTAGCTGACTAACGCCACGGAATTAGACAATTTGAGTTGATTTTTTTGTTGTTCTCTTTTTTTTTTTTTTTTTAGTTTTAGTTATAGTTTTATACAGTTGTACATTAAACAATATTAGCTTGCAATTATTAAAAACTAATAACAAATTCACAAACATTTTTTTTTTTTTCACAATTGATTTGCTTGGCGTATTTTTGCCATATATATTTTAATTAATTTGTTTTTTATTATTATTATTATTATTCTTTCTTTTTAAGCGCTCGTTCATGTCTCTCGTCTCTTTCTTTGTCCGCGTTCTTTACTAATTTTCTATGCAATTCTCACAATACGCTTTTCGTTTTAACATTTTGTGTGGAATTTCTTTTAGTTTTTGCTTGATTACTGTAAATGTTGCATATTTTGCTTGGTAAATATTTATATATATGTATATATATATATATACTATGTGTATATATAATAATTTTCTTTAACTATATGAATTCATTTTTCGTTTTCGTTTTTTACATGCACAAACTCATGAGGCCAAGGGTTCTGATTGTGTGTGTGTGTGTGTGCTAGTGTGTGAGTGTGTGTGTGTGTGTGTGTGTGTGAGTAGTATAGCTTAAATAATCCTAACCAAATATCAAGACTTATAAGGTATCATATATAGATATAGATTGCAAAATCGGGAGCAACTAGGTGAGGGGAAAGGGAAGGTAGGAGGAGAGTTTAGAGCAAAAGACGTCGCGAGTTGTTTCAACAATATTTATAAGTCGTACAGGTTAAATATTTCAGAAAGTTCGTGTGTTTATAGAGTATATATAATAATAATAGTAGTTATTGTATTTTTTGTGTTTTTCCGTTTTTGCGTTTTTGCGTTTTTAGATAGGGGCATACAATATCTATATATATATATATATATGTATATTGAATATATATTTATGAATGCGACTTAATATCAGTTTCTCGCTCGACCTAATCTATACATATATATATATATATATATATGTATATATATATATGCATATATAACTATATAGTTATGTTTATGTTAAATATGACTCGTTATAGCTACAATCAGTTGCACTTGCTGCTCATCACCGCATGCATATGTATGTATATAGTATACATATACATATATGTTCATTATCATAGTCAATCATAGCTGGATGTGGCATGCAACTTGAAATTTGTTGTGTTTAGCGCGAAACATTCAAAGACAGAGCGGGCAAAAGAGTTCGGTGTGTGTGTGTGTGTGTGTGTGTGTGTGTGTGTGTGGGTGGGCGTGTGTGTGTGGGCGTGTATTGTTATAGGAGCTGGTAAGACCAGGTTTGCAGTTTTGACTTGGCCCAATTGCAGAATTCGCATCGTTTCGTTTTGCAGTTGGTTTCGATTCGGTTTTTGGGGATCGGTTTGTTTGTTTGTTTTTACTTTTTTTAATATTTTATTATTTTGTTTTGTTTCGGGCAAATGTCCTCAGATCTGGCCAACCAGCTCCTGTATGCTGCGCAATAGATCTTCCATGTTTCACAAGAGATCACGATGGAAGACCCACGTGTGCTTTGTGTGTGCAAATTTATGTGACAGCCACTGTGACTCCAGCAAATTGAAGCGATCCTGACTCAGATAAAGCGGCTTGCCGCGTCTGCCAAACAAAAATGAAAACAATTAGCAATTATTATTATCGTTGTTGGTGTACGGTGTACGTACTTGAGATCCCGATCCTCCTCGTCGAAATCATCCAGATATAGTGAGCCCCAGAGGCAGGCGCGTCGCCCCCTAATGACAATTATGTAGGTCGAGGTGACAACCAGAAAGATGCCAATGCCGCCGCCGCAGGATAATGTGTGCTGTGTGAAACAAAAATGTTTAACATATTAACTGAATTATGCTCATGGCAATTGCAACTCACCCGCACTGCCTCACAGCATTCCTTTTCGGCACAGCAATTCTGCTTGAGGCACACGATTGTGCCGCACAGCAGACAAATGGAGCTCTCTTTGGGCACCTTGTAGCAGTTGAGGCATGGACGCTCATGATAGTACTGTTAACATAAATGAAAACATTTTGATTAATACTCTAGCATACACATATTTCGGTTAACAGCTGTCTGCTATGTTAGCGCAATGTTATCAACATATTAGCAACAACTTGCATTTGTTAAAAGAGAATACAGGAAAACAATATTGAGTGACCTAATCGAGCTTATGTTTTATCATGCCGCCAAAAAAGTTGGCTCAAGTTGCTCTGTGGTAAGCTTTTACTCACAAATGTTAACAGAATAGCGGGCTATAAATAACATTTTAATGCCTACGCATATAAACAAATATTCAAAAATGAGGGCTTTACATATGTTTAAAATATTAGAGACTTTACAAGAATGTTACAGAAGAAAGAGTTGTCTTTTTAGCGGACTTTTACTAACTGTTTAGATATCTTTGCCTCTCAATTAACAAACAACAGTGCGATAACATGAGCAATTACATTTCTAGGCATAACATAGTGTTAAATAGCATTCAAGAAGCTGTAGATTAACGCGAAGGCTTCCATATTACATGAACTCACCGTAAAGAGACGCTCGTATTCGCGCGGCAACTCCAGCAGACGCGGCTGCTGCCACAACGAGTGCTGATTCATGAGTATCAACTCGCGCACCGTATCCGATGGCGGATGAACGTCCATTAGCTGTTTGCACCAAAATTGTGGCAAAGTTTGCTCTGTGCCGGGTATAAAGCACAGGCCCTTGGATGCATTAAAACAGTCCCAGTCCATTGAATCTGTGACCAATTCCAAATAATAAACCAGACGCACAAATTCCAAACCAGGCGCTGATATTTCCGGCATCTCGTGCCTATACAAATGCTGACGCAGCAGCGCCGCAATCCGTAAAAATGGTAAACAAAGCGATTGCAGCTGCAGTTCCATGGACTTGAGATTAACCTCTGCCGTTGGGCTGTTGCTGCTGCCGCCGCCAGCAGTTGCTGCTGTTGCTTCCTTTGTTGTTGCTGCGCCTGCTCCTGGTTCTGCTCCTGCTCCTGCTCCAGCTGCTGCTGCTGCTGCTGCTGTTGTTGTGCTGCTGCTGCTGTTGCTGCTGCTGCTGGCACTGGCGCTGGCGCTGGCGCTGGTGCTGGGTATGCTGTCACGTCGCAGATGCGACAGGCGATTCGTTTGATTCAAAACCAAAGCCATGGCCTTGCCCAGCTCCGCGCAGCTCTTCAGCGGGCCAAAACGTGCGGCGCTGCTGCGGCGATTGCTGCTGCCGCTTCCACTGGCACTGCCACTGCCGCTGCCGCTGCCACTGCTGCTGCTGCTGCTGCTGCCGCTGCTGCTGGTCGCTGTTGTACTTGCAGTTGCTTGTGTGGAGGAGGATGCGGAGGAGGAGGAGCTTTTGGCGGCTGCATCGGACTTGCTGGTGCAGCTGGTGCTGCTGCTGCTGTAGTTGGCCAAAATGTGATCGCACTCGAAATCGGTGAGCGTTACGCACAATTGCACAACAATCTGATAGTAGAGCAGATTGTACATGACCTTTACCATACAGGTGAAATAGTCTGTGGAGGAAAGCACACACAATTAGCAGATGCACAAGACGAACAAGTAGATGTTGGTTTACCTTTAGGTTCTTATAAATATCAATATCAATTAAAATGTATTTTATTTAATTGTTGGCAATTTTAGCTTTACAATATTGTGCTGCACTTACCCTGATCGAGATGCAGCGGCGCGAGCAATATAAATTTGAGCAGCAACGCAATGGGATCCGCCAACAGACTAGGTATCACCTCGCGGCAATGTGTGGGCAATGGTTCCGTATCGCGGACCGGCATCCCGGCCAGCGAAGCCCAACTGCTCCACAGTGGCCACTCGACGAGGACACGTACGTGCACCGACAGCACATGCAACAGTGGGACAATGCAGTCCCGCTTCGGCTTGTATCGTGTGGCATTCGATGAGCACAGCGAGCCGCCGCGCTGTATGATCTCTGCCTCCAGATTGGTCCGGGCTATTGATGTAACAAATATGAACAGCTTCCGGAACGTTATTTTCGTCGATTTGACTTTCCGCTGCGCTATGTTTGTCATCACCTCCATGGCGTGACCCATGGCCTCTGTGAGTTTTGTGGGTTGCTACAAAATATACAATTATCAATTAGATGGCGATGCCAAAATATTAAATACGAGTTAAGTTAACATTGTTAGCGGTTGCTACACGAGAACATGCATACACTCATAAGCACCAGC